CACCTGGGTTTGCCCCCGAGAACCCAGCACCTGGGTTCACTGGGTTCATGGCGAACCCAGCACCTGGGTCTCTGGTTTTTTTTTTTTTTCTTTTGGTAATAATCCTAGGTGTCTGGTTGGATGAGGAAGAAGATGGTTGGATGAGGAAGAAGAGGGTTAAGAAGACAGGAAGAAACACATCAACCTGGGCCGCGCGAGAAAGGAATGGCGGAATGTTATAACTGGAACCTATATATAGTGGTTTTTTTTGTAAATAGAAGCAAATGTGAGGATAAAATAGGAAGAGTGAGTAAAATTCATTAAACCAAAAAGGTAGAAGTTGCCGCATAAGCACGAAATTCGTGCTTCTCAAAATGGGAGAGGACGAGCTTTTGAGAAGGACATGTGTTTTTCACAAGCAGTGATGTTTGGTGCAGATGGAGCTTTTAGGTCCAAAAGGCCTTTTCAGCAGCTGCACCAAACAGGCCCAAATAGTGACGAAATATCTCTCGTTTAAACTGTTCACTGGTCAATTTTAGGGATTTCAACATCATCTTGAAGCTTCCTACACTGTTCCTAGACATTTCATGCCGTGTCTCCAGCCTATTCCTCAACCGAACGTTAACTCTCCGTTGTTCTCTGCCACTTTGAAATTTTACTTGGTTCCCTGCATTTGTTGCAAGAATTCGACGCGATGGGATGGAGAGGGATGGCAAGCTGTGGGGATAGGAAAAGCAAGGGAGAGCAGGGAAAAGGAAAGAGGTGACAAAAGGGGAGGAAAATTGTGTATCGGAGGAGAGAAGGAAGATCTGCGACGGCAACTAAGGAATTAGGGTGGAGTCGTGGGACGTTACGGTTTCAGTGGGTGACATGGGTGTGTGGCGGAGGCTGGCAAAGAGAATAGATTTTGGTAGAGGGTCTGTATGCCATTTTCCAAGTGAGTTTCTCTCTTTTTTACCCCTTTTTTGGCTCAAGGGTGTCCTTGCTTTCGTGGGTTTATGCATTTTGGGTTTTGGTGAGTTGTCTCCATGAGAAATGGATGTGGGTAACGTCACTTCTTGGATAACTAAGGCATGGGTATGTATTCTTCTTGGCAATTAGTTTGTTGAGTATTTGTTGTTGCGTAACTTCTGAGTCAAAGATTAATTTTCTTTTGAAATTTCAATTGTGCAAAGTTAATGGTCTTCTACTTTAAATTTTCCTGTTAAAGTAGGTACTTTTCCGTAATTTCTTGAGTTTTTCTATGTTGTGTGATCATGGTAATTACTGCATGCTTTTCTAATTGGGTTTATGTCAACATCACTAAAGTGAGTTTTTCTGTGTTGCTCTTGCTTTCCACAAACCTAGCTCCATTGCCATAATAGTGGACACATGGTCAAATATTGCACTGACATAGAAGATTGAAGTTACTTCATTTTACCTATATCACTCTTGATAAATAGATAAAGAAAAAGAAAATTTCAATGATAGGACGATGACTAAAATCATCTCTACAATGGTAGAATGTTTCTACCTAACATGTCATTTATGTTAGTTTAGATACTCTGTTGAAAGTATGCTATTTACTAAAATTGTAAATTGACTTTAACTGCAGAGATGTTTTGGAACTCACAGTGGCCATTACAATTAAAGATAAAAAGGCAGAAACATGCACTCTTAAATTCAAGTGCCATATTTTTTTTATAATTTATCTGATTTTTCTTTCCATTTACTTCCCAAGCCACTCCTCCCCATTTATGTTTCTGAATGATTGCATCTTTGTTTTTTTATAGCACTTGGTATCGTTCTCACGCTCACTTTGCTTCCTTGATTCCTTGCTCCACCATTTTCCCATGTTACTGACAAATGGCCCGCTGGTGAGTCCTTTTTTTTTTTTTTTGAAACAGATTTGGACCTGATGAGAGGAATGGATGCAAAATTGACTGTGCTTGATTACTGTTTTGCCTATCAGTTTGTCTAAATGATACCAGTTGGCAATAACCAGTGAGTG